CCAACAGTAAAGCCGTGCCTCACACCGGGGAATAGCCTGTCTCTCATCCTCCCAGGCCGGACGGCAAAACGCGCCGCCCAATGCAAAGACGCCGAAGTCATCAGCCGTGACATCGTTACAGGCGCCGGCGGCGCAAAAGGCATCTAGCGATTAACCTAAAGGGCCCGGGAAAGTCTCTAGCCACGGTTGAGCGCATAGGGTAGCCGGGAGGGGTCAAATTACTACCTACTATAACCTAGCGACGGGCACTTCTAATATCAACTACGGCTTGTAAGGTTTACTACGACCTAATCTCGCGCAACTACTTCCACCGTCTTGATATCACCACATCCAGGGGCTAATGTCCTGGCGTATTAAGCCCTTATATATTAAATTTATAGGTAATTCGCTAGTCAAGGACTTATTCGCTCCCCCTTACCATTAAGCATAGTTTTATGTTTAAGAACTTTATGTATACCCGTATCTCGAGGACGGGTCTAATTTCCCGATCTGGCGCCCGAGGAGCTACCTACCGTACTCGAACTAACCTGAAGAAGTTCAACTTCGCCGATATAATGTCACCACATGCTCGCGGCCGGCCATTACAAGCGACTTGATTGATAACCTCCTTCTGTAGATATTTAACAAGCTTAATACCGTACTTCCAGGGGAAGAGCTGGAAAGCAAGAGCATCGTAAACGTTAACGGTGACTTTGTGAAACCTTGCCCCAGTGCTCTCGCTGAGCTCGGCGCCAACCGCTCATCAACTCGACAGTTACTAGTGGCACGCGCGGTGGTAAGTCGTTCAACGGGCGCGTCCAGGCTCCCGAAGGCGGCAAGTGGATCGTCACAAAACAGCCGATTCTGGCAACACCTCCGGTTCTTGACAACTTGATCTTCTTTGGCTTCAATAAGCGCGAGCATGACATTGCCTACATGCTTGAGGGCGGCGGTGTGTTGGTTAAGCTGGGGATTTTCGGCTCCGATAATACCTGCGCGCCACATCACCCGACGGCGGACTCACGGCCATCCGTACCGGCGTTTACTGCGACTGATACGCACTCCAGGGCAACCACAACACCTCGTACACGGCCTCGCTGTTGGTCCGAGGATTCCCCCAGCTGTGGGATATCGCCTCGCAACTGTTCTTCAGCAGGACCCGATTAGCGCTCTCCATCTCCAATTCATCCATCGCGGAAACGTAAGTTGCCATCTTCATAGGTACTATATATACATATCTTGAAAGATCCATGTAACATCTACTGCGCTGGATACTCGCCTTTCTCGCCACCGTTCCCCCCGCCTCCTCGAATTTAACGACTATGAGTAGAGAAAGGTGGCGGGGAGAAATACATTATTCATGGACTTGGCATCCAGATTGGGGGACTACGGCATTCCCCAGTACGGGGGAACCAGTTTAAGCCAGACGTACCGACGTCTCGGGACGGAAATAATGGCAAGGACGTTCACTACACTTAGCACCACCCGCAGACATTCCTCAACACAGACAACGTTACCCATGTATACCATGATGATCCTGATCGGCCTATCGTAGATATGTGGGATGATGGCCTATCCACGTACATGATCCAAAGTTTGCGGGGAGGGAGATCTCGTATCTGAGCTATCACGACCGACTTGCATAGATGGTTCTGCGTGGCCTCACATCGCACACGATGATCAGCCCAGTGACTGGTGACGTGCATGAATACTCAGATAGCCATGTCGAGTCGAGGTCTCGCTAAATTTCTTGGTTATACTTGTGTTGATTACAGGAGAGAAGATAGAGAAGGAGCGTGAAGCGAGTGCCAACCCTACTTGGCGCGTACCTATAGCATACGCTTCCCAAGCTAGTTTGCGGCTCAGTCCGTGGCCACCATCGGGGTTAACTCTTCCTGCGGCGCCGTCTCTCTACTGTAAAGGATTTACGTGCAGCATGCGCATACATACATGTACCTATGCAATTACGTGTCCATATACATAATGTAGGTATATGTATGTGTGTGTGTGGTGAAGAGGGAGAGCGGTTACTCATACTTTCTTCGCCGGTTGGGAGTGTCCTCAAGCGATACCTTACTGAAGACGAAGGAGACTTCCACCCTCGCCTTTTCTACCCCCCAAAAGATAGAGAGGGAGAAAAGACAGGTGTGGTTATGTATCGAGAGAGAATTTTTTCCAATTCCTATCCATAGTGATATACATAATATCGTCATCAGCCTCTTCAGCTGAGCGATATATTAATATTACCTAGATACCCACATGCCCACATATTCTCGTATTTCTGTTAGGAGGCCCCATGATAAGCTGTTCGATATTTGTGTGCGTGAGGGAGCGCCCCGCGCAACCTTAGAGGCTTGGCTAAAGACGATACCATTAGTTATAGGTAACACATTGGATGGCCCTAGGTCGATCGCCCGCGAGCGTACTGCGCCAAGCAGCAATAGAAGAGGGACAGGGGGGGCAGCCGGTATTAGATATAGGCCGGGGGATGCAAAGACGGACGTAGCTAATCTCCTACAATAGCGCCCTCGGCGCAAGCGAAGGGGGAAGACGTGAACGGGTGGGAAGGCGACGTAGGTACTAATACATAGGTACGCTAATTCGGACACGAACGAGGCTCTCGAGCTGATCCAGGGAGGGACGGGGGCAGCCTCCGCGCCCAAATTGTTCTCATTACAAGTCCTCCCCTAATTGGTTGAAGGTGGCGAAATGGGGCGGAAACATGTATAGAGAAGGATCGGCGGCGGGGGAGGGGGAAGGGCGGCGAGGAGGATGGTTGGCATCTCTTGCCTAGCCGCCAAGAAGCCTAGAAGAAGTCTACTCTCTGTCTCTCTCAAGGATGCCGAGTATAACTCTAGCATACTCAGCGTGGTGTAGGACGACTCCAACGACGGCGCAAGCCACACACCATGTCCTACACGCATCTCGCGAGAAGTTCCAGCGCAACTTCTGATGCTAGAGAGCGAGGACAGGCCGGATGGGGACATACCATCTGGCCGCCTCCACGACGATCCAACGTCCGCCACCGGCAGACCGACGTCGACGGCTGAAACAGACTAATCACATTGTCCCATCTCGAGGGCTGCGGTCGTACCTACATTAGCTGGTCGGGCGGCGTTAAATTGAAGCCTAAAAATCCTGCCAGTCCATCGTACGCCTCACGCCATGGAAGTAGCGTGTACACACGTTCCACAAGAAAGGCCGAGGAGGTATTAACCGCCCGTCGCCGGCGAGGCATCCGTGTTGTTGATCCAACGTCACATAGGCGCGCGCGCGCCCAGATTATTCCTGCGTGCATCTGTGCAGGGTATCCCTTCAAACCTCACGTACACGTGTAGGCAGTTTTAGTGTAGGCTGCCCATCTCCGGCAGCCTAAATCGACGGGACCAAGTTAGTCTAGGAAGGGTGCCTATTCTCCAACGGTATGCTGTTTGCCTCACCGTCCGTCGGAGCGGGCTACCGGGCTCCTTGCCATCCCCCTTCCCCCTTCCCCCTTAACCCATCTATCTCCTTATTCTCGCCGCAAAGCAGGAGAGAAAGCGAGCGAGCGGCACATACGCGCGCGCCGTGCCCATCGTCGCCCTAATCGCTCCCAAGGCCCGAATAGACCGTTCGATGCATCGCACGGCTCTGCTCTACTGCAAGCCCCATCCCATATACATACTCGGAACCCGTCAGTTAGTATACATAGCCAGACCGGTCGAAGGAAGGGGCCGGCCTGGGGTTCGGTTGAAGGGTTTCTGGTCGAAGAGACGGACTGCGATGGGAGAGAGAGTATACGGCACGCCAACTCCAAGTATACCTGCCTACACATACGTACTGAAGCACACATGTGCATGCTAAACATACATGCGTGCGGTGCTCAACGCTATAACTGTGATAAGACGTGTAATATAAAGAGCGTATAGGCCGGGCTAGCGCGGGCGGGCGTGTGTAGATGTGTAATATGGATGTGTGCAAGTTACCCGGGACAAAGGTAGAGACAGACTGGCAGACGACTAGTAAGTATGCCTTCGTACTAGTAGTCCCCAAAGCTTGCGATAACGTCGAAACACACTCAGCTTCCTGCCGCCCTGTCCTATGGTGGCCCCGGCACGATCTACGGACGCCACACGCGGAAACAACGTCGAAATAACCGAGCTTGCCACCCACTAACGATATACGCATCTATCATATGCTGTCTCAGATGACAGCGCAGAGGGAGGATTTAAGGATCAGTATTAGGATGTAACGGCTCCCAACCCCCAGGCCCCTGCAACCTCCCCCCCCCCTCCCCCGGCCCCCCAGCGCGAACGCACACTCTCAAATCCCACCCAAATTCGGTACTCCCGGGGTGGTAGACCGAGTCTGAGTCTTGAAGGTCATACCACGAGTACCGGGGGTCCAGTATGGAGATCCTGAGGCAGATGCTCCGCGGCGTATCCTCGTCCGTCTCCCAGTGAGCCGGTTCCGTGTTCCGGATGGCCCATCCGCCCGTATAGCCTACCTCAGATGCACGGCGTGTACCATGCTCAGGCGGTGGCACGTCGAACCAACTTCCGCCTTTCATTTGCATCTTTATATCACAGCCGTCTCGGAACTAATATACAATAACTCGCCGGGGCAACTCGGTATCACACAAAAGAAGCAGCAGGAGTAGCCGGAATAGCGCAGTAATAGCACTTCTTGTTTGGTGATAATTATGTATTCTTATAAGTGGAAATCTCGACGTCCCATCGTGTCTCAGCAACACCCGCCAGCTAAGTCGTCGTAGTTGGTGGAGTGTGCGACAGCAATCCACATTGACGAATGTCCCCAACGCCTCATAAACCCCACCCCCTATCCTATCCTGCCTACCCTCACCGTGAACACCGGTAAACCAAAATACCCGATAATCCCGGGATAAAGACATGTAGTAAAGCCAGTCAACAAAGTCGACCCGGTCAGTTGTCCATCGACCTCTTTTTTGTACCCCCACGGTCGGCCCGCCTCTCTGGATTCAACGACCGTCCGTTCGATCCCGTAGATAAACATCACAACATACCAATTCTAAGTACGTATTCAGATACCATCGCACACGGTGTGATGTACGGGGAAACCCGCCGCAAAAAGGAACACCGATAGGCAACAATAAAACTAGAGCACAAAATGTTATTGACATTCAACATCGCTTCTACCTCGGGTAGGCGCTGAGGCCCGGCCCCAGATTGCTGAAACTCATTAGACCGTTCATTGCTTCTGTGATGTCCTGAAGCTGCTTGCTGTATGTGTCGCCCAGCTCGTGATACGACACGAAAAATTCAGCGCATAGCGATAGGGGGATCGGCGTGAGAGGGTGTATCTAGGAAGTCACCCACGCATTAGCTGTGTGCTCCGTAGCCGTCGTAACACGCGTAGGCGGGCGGTGTAATAACCAGGGAGGGGTATTATAAATACCTTGAAGGAGTTGAGCTGTGACAGCTTCTTCGTCAAGCCCACCATCTCCTTGGCGGCGAGAGTTGACTGCCGTGTGTAGTCCATTAGGGCGGCGGGCCTCTTCTCGTCCGCGGGCGGTTGCTGACATTGCTGTGCAGCTGACTTGACGAGCTGGTACATGTAAAGCACCGTCGTGCGCCACATCATACCAATGAAGAGCAGCATTGGCTCCGCCTCCTGCACCGCAGACGGGTAGTGCATCGAGAAGACGTCCATCCGCTGCATTAGAATCGTGTGGACCCACTCGTGCCGTTCCCAGAAGTCCCGCGTCTCGCGCAGGTAGATGTTATCGACTAGCGACTGCTGGCGGTGTGCGAGGGCACGGCCCATCACCGTCGCTACCACGATGCACTCTGTGAACATCGACGTGACGATAGTGTCCCTCGCAGTTATCGCCTCCGACAGGAATCCGGTCAAGGTCGCCTGTTCATTCTGGAATTCCGATTCCAGAGCTGGCAAACGGATCGTTGTCTGCAAATAGAGAGGGGATCCATAGTCAGCGCCAAGGTTCAGACGGCATTGTCGTTACTCGTGTAAAGGGTTGGGAGCTCGAGAGATGTGCTCTCCCCCCAACCCCCTCTTTCTCTCTGTGTCTCACTTACCATAGCCTGTTCGTTAAAGGTCATGGTGGAATTATTCCGAATGCTGACAAAACGGTCCACGCAGTAGGCGAGCCAAAACGTCCTTCTTTTCTGCTCGCCGTCGACCCAATCGGTCTGCGCCAGGCTCACCTCCGGCCCATCTGAGTATTGGAGCCAGTTGAATTGTATCAAGCGAAACGCGCGCCCGGCGCTCACCCAGCCCCGGCCGAAGTCAACGCACATGAACTCGTGAATGGCGAGGAGGAGCCAGGCCTGGACCTGCTCCACCTCCGTCATCGTGAAGCCCATGCATTTCGAGTCGAGGTTCTCGAGCGCCCGGCGAGTGTAGCGGTATAGCGAATCTCCGATGTTCTGATAGTGCGCGGATACGGATGCGGCCAAGGTCCACATGGCCAGTCGTAAGCATGATTGGGCCTCCGTCTTAGCCACGCTGCGCGCCCAGGAGAAATACCGTCTTTGGTGTATGACGGGGGCGAAGGCGTGCACCCTGTCAAAGTATAGCTGGTCCCTACGAAAGTGGTGTGTTGTTAGAAGAAGAAGCTGGGATCGAGTTGCTGTGTATGTGCACGTACAGATCTGCCTGCATTAAATTGGATATGTTCATGCCATCGAGGTTGTCCGGAACGTCCGACATCTTCCCGCCAAGCATCACGTCCGAGAATCCCACCGTATCCGGAGTCTCGAATCCCTGTATGGGTGACGTTGATGTTTGCACCGATCCCCCATCCAACGATGACCCTCCCGATGCGGTACCTGGCGCTGTCCCCACACACAGCTCGTGCAGTGACACATTTTCGTCGGTTGTTATGGGGAAGTCCCATGTTAGCGGTTGATTGTCGTGGAATGTTAGGCCATCGATGGTGGTGTCTTCAGGAGAGATTGTCACGGCTGTGCTGCTATCTCGGGGGTGGTGCTGTTGCTGGTGTTGCTGGTGTTGCTGCTGGAGCAACGTTCCCTCCAGCGTTGCTAGAAATCGTAGTTATATTAGTATCCCCCTTCGAGAGATGCCCAGGATGGCTGCGGTTGGTGATGATGCATACCGATGCGGGCTTGCAATGCTTTCAGATAACCTCGCTTCGGGCCGCGAGGAGGACGTGGTGTGGTGACTTGGCACTGCACGCCAGATGACAGGCAGAGGCCGCATGAAGGCTGCTGCCGGTCACAGCGGACTTTACGACGACGACATTCTTCACAGGCTGCGTCCAGGCGAGGTCAGTGACGTCTGCAGCTGCGATCGACGCGAAGGCGGTCGTGATAACAACTCACCTGTTGTAAGACGTACGAATACGTCGGTTGATCACCCTCAGGTCTCACCCGTACCGCCCGCCGCGTACACGTGTGAGCTCTGAGGGGACCCCCGACAATCTCGTACACAGGTTGTCAGTCCAGACTGCTTCAAAACGGATAACGAACAGATAAGTTGGAGCCGGCGTCGCGTACCTGCACCGGGGTTCTGTCGCGTTGGCGGTGTCGACGACTTGACATGCAAATCGACAGACTGTGGCATCTTTGGTAGCTTCGGGGCGATCTGTCTTGACTAATTGGTCGACTTCGGTTGGGTTTCTCGTTGCTCTCATAGCGGTATCTGCAGGACGCGTAATGTTTATAGGGATTCTCCTCGGCTGACGAGCGCCCAGATGGGAGAAAAAAAGCGCAGACGCGGGCGCCTAGTAGTATATATCCCAGATATACGCACCAGGGAGCAAGGCCTGTGACGAAGCAAAGCCGCCGAGAGACGCAGCTGAGAAATCCATTATAAGGCCTCTGAAGTCCGTAATCGCCATTCGCTAAGCTGCGAGGCGTATCCAGTGGATGAGAGACGCAGCCAGCGGGAGTCCTACCAAGTGTGTGTATACTGGCGAGCAGAAGTCATGCCTAGTGCTGATTGGCTATCTGCGTTTGGTTTCAGGGGGGGGGGGGGGGGAAGGTCTTTCTGACCAACAACCAGGTATGGCTGTGAATGGCTGACAGGTTAGGATCAAATCCTTACTTACCTAGAACTGCCTCTGTGCCACTCAGACAGTGATCGCCGATGGATTCGTGATCTGGTTCGAACAGGCCCACCGGTCTTAGCAGAAGTGTGGAGACTAAGGAGACAGTAGGCTTCGTGAAGGGGTTCGACGCGGGATGCGAGGTAGCTCTCGAAGAAGGTAGACCCGATTTCGCGCCGGACCTTCTAAATTGCATGCCATGCTACCCTACCATGTGCCGGCCACGAGGGGGGGGAGAATAGGCAACGAGGAAGGGGGGGTTAGAGGATACTTCTGCCAAAGATCACGTGGTTAGCCATCTTTCCACACGAGGCAGGGATTGAAGGAGCCTCCAGTCGGGTCCAGAGGCCAAGCGACCATCGCTCGATAAGACGGGCAATCTAGCCGCCGTCTGAGGTCCTCGTACCTAGGTCGAGTCGGCGCGAAGAAGCGCACGAGGGGGACTAGTCGAGCTGCCAGGGACGGAATCGGGACATCGAGGACGACTGAATAACGGGCAGCAATTTGGATCTCGTCCCCATCGCGGAGCACGACGGGTGGTAAGCGTCAGTGCCATTTGTGCTCTTGTGCTGGGAATTACCCGACAATGGCGTTGAGGCAACGGCTCCGCTTGGCCTGTACCGTTCACGGCTCGACCACGGAGGTTTCCATCCCTCGGCCATGGGCTTGGGCTGTGGCTGCAGAGCCTCCCATCCTGGACGCCATCCGTTTGCCGAATTGCCCCTCCCGCCAGTCACACACTTCTTCCACCTGCCTGCCGACGCCTGGGTACGTAGGTACGCGTGTCTACGCCGCCACACTACCTATACCAGGATCCTGCCCACCCAGGCGCGATGGTCGGTGTGCTTGCCAGAGGTATCTACCTAGGTGGACCTATCCCCAGATGGCCATAGGCAGGTCTCCACGATCAGACGAGACATGGGACAGCCAGTCTGCGAAGTTCCCCTGCACCGATGGAGATGTGGGCCACCATCGGAGGGGTGCCCAAGTCTCAGGGCAGACAGGCTGAGTAGGGCGACGTCGATCAGTAACACAAGGCATGCGGCCGTCGGTATCAGCGAGAGAGTTGGCGGGACGGATGGTGGTGTTGCATGCGTAGGGAGCGGTCTCTGCCGTTATCATCTGGACTTGCTTGGTAGGCGAAAACCCCACCTTGGTGGTTGTGTGATTCTAAAAACGGTGGGCGTGGAATCTCCCCGGTACGGAAAGAATGTAAGGTTACCTTGGAAGGTCAGCCTTAGCTACCTTAGGTACGAGGTACCTACCCACCTGCATACCCGGTACCCTGCTAGCCCAAGCCGCACGCTATAACCTCCCTTGCCCGTTAAGACTGAGGTGGGTTACATCAGGTGCCTTGAGGCTACCTCTAGAGGCACCAGAGGTAGAGAGGTACCTACCCCGGTAAGTACATCTACCACCAGTTTCGTGATACTAATTTCTCCTTTCCTTGTCTGTAGGCACACCGGCCCGACTTCTGGACCGTGCTGACGTAACGCCAACAGACCAGATCCCACTTGCATATATACATATATATGCAACTATACGTGGGTTAGGTAATGAGATGCGCTTCTGGACCTTGCCAGGATTGCAGGATCTTTCTTTTGGTATGACTGGATACACACAGCTCGTCCCTCCTCCCCGCCTTATCGTGCATTCAGCATTCCGCATCCCGCATTCAGCATTCAGCATCGCCGCATGCGCGAGTTTATCGGTCGCCGTATGCACAACCCATCTTTGCGCCGCTGGCCCTATCCGCCCACTCTTGCCACCGTATCACGCAACTGGTATCGAAAGTGAGCCTTTGGGATCCCGTCCCCGAGGGCCTTTTGCTACGGCCATCTCGACGGGGGGCTCTGCCGGCCAGCCGACCCCTCTAGTCTCATGTTCATAAGCCGCTTCATATCATATGTGAGCATCATCATATGTGAGCATCCCGCGTTGCTCGACGCGAGACGTCTCTGAATAGGGCGGATCCTCGGGTTTCGGTTCCCGCGAGATCCTCCCCCTCCCCCATGCCGCCCGCCGCCATCCGTCTGGGGTCAGCATGCAGGCGGCCTGTCTGCTCGACTAGGAGGATCACCCCCCACTTGTGTACGCGGCCGCGTCATATCATCGAGTTGACTCCCCCAGAATCCCACCAGGGAAGGCTCCAAGCGAGGCTTTCATAGGCCCCGCCATCCCCGGCATTCCACCATGTAAGCAGATTCTCTACTATCCCTCAGCCAGATCCCTCTTTGCCACTTAGATATATTTGTTCCTTAGCCCAGCCCATTTTTTTCCCATCTCCTTCCTTGGCGTTCTTGCTATCAGGAGGGCTAATCCACCCGCGGGTCCCTCTATTGCGCAACGGACATTTCGGAAGGAAAATTAGTGATCCTTTCGCTATCCGTAGCGCCGGCTCATTCCACCGTCCCCCTAGAAGCAGCGGGGAGCCTTCGTATTCTTATGAGCATCCACGCCGCAAACAATACATTACCCACTTGCCATAGGTCGGCGGTGCTTGCAGGATGACGTGCAGAGGCCTGCGATGTGTATAGGTACCTATCAGAGCCAGGGATCCCGTATCGTGGACCCGTATCGTGGACGACAGTTACCCTGACTCAGCCTTGGTATTTTCTGACCTCTGCCGTCGGTCTATCTGTTGATACGGGCAATGTCTGAGCGGTATGATCTTCCAGAATCTGCGGTCTTGGCCTATTCCTTCTTCCGTGATGCCCAGCAGCCCTCCGCTCCTACGACCCATCGAGACCGGGGGTTTCTCGCGCGAAGAGTGGACACTCACATTGGCAACGATAGGCCAGACCATGATTGGCCCCAGCGTGGACGTGGTGGTTTATCCGATTCTCCCACCACTCCGGTCTGATGGGCTCTTCCGAAAGCCCGGCCGCTACCCTACTACGATGCTGCTCTTCATTCTCGTTTCAAATTCCTTGAATGGGATATTCTGCGGCTTGGTCTGAACAGACTTCCAATCGCTTCCCCCCCCCCTCCCTTCCCTTCCCCTCTCGGCGTTCCTTTCCAAGCCTGTCGCTCCCCTGCCGGTCAGCCCTGCTGCTCCTGCTCACTACCCAGGTGAAGCACCCGCATGCATACACAACTACGATGCACCCTGGGTCGGTCGGTTGTACGTGAACGTGTAGGCATATGTGTAACGAGACCGTGACTCGACGGGAAATCGCATGTTTCTGTCATCTTACGACGCCGAGAGTCGTCGGCGAGGAATTCTGCGTTGCTGTCAGGATTGCTTCTGTGTCTGCGCTCGACGTAAACATGGCCAATCGCCCTACGCTAGGAATACGAGTGCATTTCCGCCGTGGACACGAGCTCTTGTGGCGAGGTCAAAGACGCACCGCAATCTCACACACAACCCGCCTCCCCCTCTCCAGACCGGCCTTTCTAGCTTAGGTAGCTATTTGCGTCTGCTCTCCGTATCTATCCTTGCCAACCTGCACCTAGGTGCACGCTGGGCGCTTCTTATCTAAGACATATAGGTTACCTTCAGATTGGCACCGCGTCGATCTTGTGGGCAAGGTCATCCGTCTGGAGTGCAGCCCGTAACCGAGGGTGCGAGCTGGGTAGGGAGGTCTCACACGCACCCCTCGGCCTCTGGAATTCGGCGAGTCGGGGCCCGTAAAAGCTGGCCGTTCCGTAGCCGGGCGAGGTGAAGAAGGGCGACGCGGACGCATATGCCCCCTCCGGCCTCGAGCAAACGCCGTAACGCCGCTAGATAGCCAGGTCACATGCATTCAGCAAGCACGCAATCAGAGACCGACTTCAACAACTGCGCAGCCCATTCCTACGGGCATCGCAGGAGAATCGCGAATCGGCCTAACTAATCCCGACTAGCGGTGGCGGCGGCGGCCGTAGCTAGCTGCTACTGCTGTGCAGCTGCAGCGTGATTGTCATATCGCGACAACCGAGGTGCTTTGTGATGCCAAGATACCTACGCCAGCCACGTTCCAGCTGCAGGTAGACACGTAGGTATAGCGGGCTGCCGAAGCTACGTATGTAGGCAGACCTATGTAGGCAGACCTCTACGATGGCGGTGTCGGCCCGTCCTAGCTAGGACGCGTTAGGAATTGGCGGAGGTGATGAATAATTGGTAGTGACGTGAGAGGCTGATGTGGCTGTCGATCGCAGATCAATCGCCACCCGCCACATCTAGACAGACGAAGAATCCCGGCAGCGGTGGCTGGAACTTCGCTCGGTACGATGCCGCCCAAACTTTTCCCCTCCGTAGCCGAGCCAGAAACCAGCGAACCAGGGACCAGCAAAGCAGAAGAAAGGGAAACCACAAGGCGGAGAGGGGAAAAGGCGCCGCCACAAAATTGGGTTATATATAAGCTTATTATGCGGGCCGGCGGTGGCGGCTCCGGAGGCTCCAGCCACAAATGGGAGCGCCAAGAGCTCGGGGCTCCGAAAGCTTATTTTCTCGGATTTGCGATTCGCTGGCTCTCCCGGAGGTACCGAGTTCTATACGCACCATCTGACGCGCAGGCACACACACACACCACACGAGTCCCACGCATGAACTAGTATGAGGTACGGGGTACAAATGAGGCACGGAGGCGTACGCAGGTGGAGCCTGGGACAGGGATGCATCGCTGCAGATCGGCTCTTGCAGGGTTGGAGGGTGCCACAAGGCTACGCAACCCGTCTGTGTGACACACCACGGCCTATTAGTAGTACGAAGTACATGACAGCACTGGTACGGCCCTACGAGG